ATATTTGATTGTCCCTGATTTTGACTGAGTATAAGTTTGATTCCTGGCAGAAAAATAGACCAGAGGCTCCTATCCCTTCCTTTATGTCCCTGCCTCCAGCAGCTTTCTTTCCACTCTTAGTCAGAGGATGGTTAAAATAGATTTAATATAAAGGCTGTAATTAGGGAACTATGAATCTATTTGGGGCTATGGGGTGGGGTATAACTTTTTGCAAGGACCTTTGTGAATATATTCATTCTAGTCTGCTTCTGTAGTTCTTGTTTTCTTTTCTCTGTACCTTAGATTCTGATAAATCCCTCCCTATGGGTTTTTATAAAAACTCTCCCAATGATTCCTGTCCCATCCCCCTCACTGTACCTACACACACACACACTCATGCGTAGCATTTCTGGAATTGTAGAGAATATGTGGATTTCTAAATTTTTTTCCCTATCTAGGTGGCAGTTTTTCTAAGTTTATGGTATGCAGTTAGGTTACCTTAGTTTAAATGCTCCAGGATAGTCTTATTAGTTGTGTTATGGTTTGTAACTCTGCTTTGCAAAACTAACTTTCCCACGATGGCTATAGTTCTGTAGTTTTAAGCCATTCCTTACAATATTTAATTATGAAAGCATATCTTTCTGTGTTGGTAAATAATGTCCTGTGTTTAAGGTAAATAATTCTTCTAAGATAATGAAAACTGTTTCTCTGAGATCTAGAGTGGGGACGGGCTTTATGCTGCCAGGATCAGTAGTGACGCCTGGCCCTGGGTTGGAGGAATAGGGGATTGACTAGTCAGGTGCTACATACCTGCTGACTCTGGCGTAGCTGTTTTTAAAAGTCTTTTGTAATCCTTGGCAGTTTTCAGGTCTGTTTTGGAAACCTTTTAGTCTTCTTAGATAAAAATACGGTATGTCACTGCAGGTTATTTAGAGGAGAGATCTGCTTGTTGATTTCAAAGTCTTGGGAAACGTCCTAAATTGTATGCATTCTGTCTTTTCTCCACCAACACTATGTTTTGCCAGACTCCCCCCAAAATAGGGGAAGGGCGTTGCTCAGTGGGCAGATGTGCTCCTCTTGCTGCGCCTGGAAAGAGTTTGTCTAGTTTGCTACCTTTTTTTTTTTAATTTGACTATAGTTGACACACAGTGTTACATTAGTTTCAGGTGTACACTATAGTGATTGGACAATTTATGTGCTACCATTTCTTTTATTCTGTCGTACTCTTTTTTTTTTTCCCCCTACTTCCAAATCCTTACTCTCAGGCATTTGGAAATAAAGATGGTTGGTCTCCTTGCTGCTTTCGAGTTTAATGCACTGTCTCTTAAAATATTTTTTTAAAGATTTTATTACTTACTTGACAGAGCAAGAGCACAAGCAGGGGGAGCAGCAGAGGGAGAGAGAGAAGCAGGCTCCCCGCTGAGTGGGGAGCCCGATGTGGGACTCGATCCCAGGACCCTGAGATCATGACCTGAGCTGAAGGCAGATGCTTAACTGACTGAGCCACCTAGGCGCCCCTGGTTTTCAGACTTCTTAGCTCAGTAACACTTTTATCCATTCTCTGAAGTGTGATCAAACTCTGGACCTTGATTCAAACTAACTAAGCTCACATGAGGTTGGTAAGTGAGACTTCTCAACTTCCACTAAGAAGTCAAATGATTAATAATAGGACCAAAATACTAACCTCAGCTGGACAAAGCCAGTTCCTTACCATTGTTAAATTTTATTGGGAAAAGTCAATATAGATCAGGTGGTTGGTTTTTGTTTTTAAAGTAGAATCTGGTTAGAATAATGGCATTTGGGTGATGGGCTGTACTCATTAAGCTCTGGTAGCCTGACACAACATTTTATATTTTCTAGGTTGTTACTGGAATATTCATATCATTCAAAAAGGGCACTTGCTTTGCCAGGTAGTCCTCTAGAATAGGAACAGTTTCTGACTCTAGCTCTGTGTTAGGTATTTTGTATCATCAGTCTAAAAACTTTAGTTATTGTATTCTAGTCTCAAGAAGTTAACATGTAAGAGAACAGTTTTATCAATAATATTTAACAAAACAAAAAATAGATGTGCTGTTTTTTGTGCAGATGATTAGTCTCACCATTTATATTTTTTCAGGCAGCTTTTTAAGGATTATTTACCTCCTTCTCTGTTTTGACTACCCAGTCAGAGCCCATTTCTGTTTCAAAAATAGCTCTACTTCCCATCACTAGGGAGGCAGCATAGCATAATGAAAGTTGCTTTGACTTTTTTCCAGTCTTTTTTTTATTGTGGCAAATACACATAATATTTACCGTCTTAACCATTTTTAAGTGTAGCAGTCAGTAGTATTATATACATCATAATGTTGTGCAACCATTACCATCATCCATCTCCATAATTCTTCTTTTGTAAACTGAAACTTTACACATTTTCAGTAACTTCCCTTCCCCAGTCCTGACAACTACCATTCTACTTTCCGTCTCTCTTGAGTTTGACTACATTAGTACCTCAAGTAAATGAAATCATACAATTATTTGTCTTCTTGTGATTGGCTTATTTCACTTAGAAAGTAGCTTTAACTTTTTTTTTTTTAAAGATTTTGAGAGAGAGAGAGCACACAAGAGGGGGGAGGGTCAGAGGGCGAAGCAGACTCCCTGCTGAGCAGGGAGCCCGATGTGGGACTCGATCCCGGGACTCCAGGATCATGACCCGAGCCGAAGGCAGTGGCTTAACCAACTGAGCCACCCAGGCGCCCGTAGCTTTAACTTTTAATCAGACACAAAGCCTGACTCTGCTACTTCTTAGCCTTATAATACTGGTTAAATTGCTTAAACCTTTTTGGGCTTCGGGTTTCTGTTGGTAAAATGGAGTTAATTCTGACCGCAGGAAGAACTAGCAAAAGACTAAATCTGTTGAGATAAGAAAACCAAGATAAAAGGTACCTTGGAAGCCAAATAAATAAGTGTGTCTACAAGGGAGTGATCCTTTACATCAAATACTGATCATAGGACAAGCAAAAGGAGGTCTAAGAAACGACCATTGGATATAACAATGTGAGGTCACTGGTTTTCTTCTTGGCAGTTTTTGGTGGAATGTTAAAAGCACATATTGATTTGCATGACTCTAACTGGAAAAAGAGGAGTAGGAGACAGCATATACGACTCCTGGGGATAATTTATTTTGTGAAGAGAATGAGAAAAAAGTAACGGAGAAATGGGGTCAGGACTTTGTTATATTTAAATAGAGGAAATAATACCATGTACGTGTATTTTGAAGGTAAAGATCTAGTATAGAGGGGAAAAGTGATGTATGAGAGAATTGCCAAGTAATGTCCTTGAATAGGCAAGATGATGGGGTGGGATTGAGTGTTCAGAGGGCAAGCAGTTTGTCCTACTAAAAGGGTGTAGATGGGTGGAGGTGGGAGTTCATAGAAAGGGCTCTTGTGTTTTCTGTTTCAATGAGAAAATAGAAGTAAGAAAGGGAAGATGGAGGAGTAAATGTTAGAGGTTTGAAGGGAGAAGTCACGTAGAAGGGACTAGGAGAATTAACAGTATGATTTCCTGGTAGCACAAATAGTCCATTAGAGGTAAATGATTGCTGCTGACTGGCTCACTTTAAGTTCACATGGTGGTAGGTTCTTCTCTAGCTATATTTAGCTGAGTAGGTATCCAGAGAAGGTGGAGAGTTGACTGCAGTGGGTTTGACCTCATCTAAGTGAATAAGGTGAAGTGAGACTCAGTCAAGGAGTTTGAAGGAATATGCAAAGGGCGTGAAACTTCATTTCACCTAAATATTTAGAAATGTATTGATAACAAAGGATTAAGGAAATAACCACAAGTGAAATGAACAATAGTCCTTCAGTATCAATTTATATTTAGTACTTCAAATTGTCTGATTCTCAGAAATGGTTTTTACACTTGGTTTTTCCAAATATAGGTGTATATAGTGCATTTGATTGCTGTGCCTTGTAAATTGTTTAATCCATGTCAATTTCCTCTCGTCTTATTTTCATGTCATTTATTTGTTGAAGAAATTAGGTCTTTCTCATGTTGAACTCTGCATATTCTGCATCTGGCCAGCTGTATTTTTGTGGAGTTATTTAAGATTTTAAAAAATTTTTTAATTGTGGTTAAAATATAACAAAATTTATGCCTTAGCCGTTTTTAAGTATATGGTTCAGTAGTGTTCAGTGTGTTCATGTTGTTGTGTCTTGTGTTATTTTTAACATAGTCCTCTATCTCCTTTATTTTGTTCAACTGGTGCCAGAAGTAGAAGGGCTTGATATGATTCACATTCAGTTTTTTTTTTTTTAAAGATTTTATTTATTTATTTGACAGAGACAGCGAGAGAAGGAATACAAGCAGGGAGAGAGGGAGAGGGAGAAGCAGGCTTCCCACTGAGCAGGGAGCCCGATGTGGGGCTCGATCTCAGGACCCTGGGATCATGACCTGAGCCGAAGGCAGACACTTAACCGCTGAGCCACCCAGGCGCCCCTCACCTAATGCTTTTATTAATCATTGGTAATCATTGCCTAGATTCATTTTCATTAGGGGTTGTGAAATAGTGATTTTGTAATTATGTGACTCTTGCATTTATTAGCTGGAATTCTGTTAAGAACATTCCCTTATCTAGTTTTGGCCAGAAATGCAGGATAAATGCTTGATTCTTTCCCTTTTCCCACTTTTTAGGTGACTGAGATATATGTATATTTTTAATTAAAGCTTTGAATTCATGCAGTATATAATGACTCAGAGCCATTCTTTTGATGTCCGTATCTTACCTGTGGCCGCTGGTTGCTTCTCCAGGCTGTCTGCTGTGTCTTCCACAGCCACAGCATCTTTGTTAACATCTAGCCCTGTTTTTTATTTTTCTGATCCTGGACTTGAAATTTTCACCTCCATTTCTCCAAGAAGCACCTAGTTCTTTTTCTTGGGAAATGGTATTTAGAGATCATAATATGGGTGTTTATTTTTAAAAAGACATCGTTGTTTTCAGTTATTTGGTTCTTCAGAATACTGATTGGATTTTTTTAATTCAACAGGCATGCCCAAAGAAAAATACGAGCCCCCTGATCCTAGGAGGATGTACACAATTATGTCCTCTGAGGAAGCAGCAAATGGAAAGAAATCACACTGGGCAGAGCTTGAAATAAGTGGTAAGACCTGCATACATAAATTTATGGTATGGAATCAAGATATGGTAGAAAATTAAGTTTTCTAATGACAGTACACAAAAGAGGCAATGCTGTATTTTGCCAGTGCTAATTTATCTTAGAGGTGGGAAGGTTCAGTGGAAGGAACATCGTTTCAAGGTTCAAAACCCATTCATTGCTTATTCTCTAAGTATCAGTGTCCTTTTATGAAATGGGGGTAATAACAAGGATGAAATGAGAATAACACATGTGAAATGCCTAGTGCGCAGAGGTTTGTTCTGATAACGTAATTCTCTGATAAAGTAGGCTTGAGCTTTTTTATTATCAAATAACAGATTTCCATTGGGGTGGGAAATACCTATCCTAGTATAGGTTATATGATAGATTTCTTTCTCCTTATTTTCTTCATTTGTTTTTCAGTCTGAGTCTCCTTATTCAGAAACACAAAATCGTAAAGGACGGCCTTATTCAGAAACACAAAATCTTAAAAGAATTTAAAGCAGATCTCAAAGTTCCCTTCTACCTTAATGCAGTCTAGACATAGAGAAATAGATGAGCCTCCAGAGATAGCCCCATAATCCCTGCCAGTGGGCATGCAGCCTCTTTTTTTTTTTTTAAGATTTTTTTTTTTTTAATTTACTTATTTGACAGAGACACAGCGAGAGAGGGAACACAAGCAGGGGGAGTGGGAGAGGGAGAAGCAGCCTTCCCGCTGAGCGAGGAGCCCGATGTGGGGCCCGATCCCAGGACCCTGGGATCATGACCTGAGCCGAAGGCAGACGCTTAATGACAGCCACCCAGGCGACCCAGTGAAGCCTCTTTTTTAATACTTCAGAGGTGGTAAGGGGACATTGTTACCTCTCAAGGCAACTAGTGCTAAAGTAGTTTTGTGTTAATGTTGGCCTGATAGGCCTCCCCATACTTTTCTTCCAATCTGTCTTGATTTTTGCCTTCTGAAATAATGAAGAACAAGTTTTCTCCTCTTTTTCCTGACTGCCCTGGATTTTCTTTTTTTTTAATTTAATGCAGCAAACATAGTGAGCATATGCTATGTGTAAAACATTTTGCTAGGTGCTGTAGTAGGTATAAGAAAGATAGACAGATGGAAAAAAAAAAAAGACATAGTCTCTGTCATCCTGGAGCTTATGCATATTAGGAAGTGAGAAGAACAGAGTATACCAGTATAAATAACTAATAGACAAAATATAACTGCCAGTCTAGATAGAAAAGTATTTACAGGAAGCAAAAAAGTAAGTAATAATAGTAAGATTCTTCCCTTGTCAGCTCAGAATTTCTGGTTAACCTATTCAGTACCTAAACATTCTCCCTGGGTACCCACATTAGTCTCTCCAGGTTTCCCTCTCTCGAGGTTTTTAGAGTGCTGGTGGTGGTAATTAAGTTGAGTTCAGTTTCATAGAGTAGGTGTGGTAGAGTAAAAATTTTCTTTTTTTCCCCTCTCTTTGTCAGATTTGGCTTTCTGGGTCAGGGTAGCCCAAAGGGAAATATGCTCTCTGATTTACCAGTTACCTTCAAAGCTTAGGCAGTCACCCATTCCTGCTTTCCCCTTTGAATTTCTTCAGGATTGGTATTTGATTGTATTTTTCTCTTTTTTCAGCCTGTATTAGCAGTTTTTGAATTGTATGTCCTTGGCTTATAGGAAGTTTCCTTTTTCTTACAATGTCAGGATAAGCTTAGAAAGTACTCAGTGAGATTTTATCTCTGAGGTTAAGGGGATTTTTCTTTACTCTTTCCTCCCTCTACCTCATGTTGGGAACTCCTTGCAAATGAGCTTTGGGAAGAAATCTGTATACAAGATAGGAAGGAAGTATGTTAGTATCATTTAGAATAAACTATTGGTTGAAATAGGTCTATGGAACAGGGTCTAGTAATAAAGCCACAATCAGAAAGGTCACTTTATTGTCTTAGCCAGTCTTTAATACATAAGCTCCTATGTGTAGAAATTGTCAAGACTGACTTCAGTTCACGCAAAGACAGTTCGTATATATGCTTTAGCACCAGTTCCTTAAGATTCTGTGTTGCAAAGTTCTAGGGATCTGAGGTCATTGAATCCTAGACCCACAGTTATCTCATGTACTCCTCTGGTTCCAGGGGGAATGGGTGGGTGGTGAGTTCCTTTTGCCATTTGGAGGTAACCAGATAGTCAAATGACTACTGATCATTTACTTTTTAAAGAAAGCTTTTTTTTTTTTTACTGTAAAATGAAACACATAAAGAAAACCACACAAATAAATATATTAATGAATTATTATAAGGCCAAAAGCCTTGTAAAACCACTATCCAGGTCAAGAATTAGAACTTTTTCATTTACCCCGGAGTCCCTTCCATTGAGCTTTAATACCAAATTATGTATATCTAAGCATTATAGTTTAGTCCCCTACGCCCAGTTTTTATTTAGTATGTCTTAATTTACAGGTTCCCCACTCTGTGTTGAACTTGAGTGGTTTGACTTGTTTCCCCACAGTCTCTGTTTTGCTTACTGAGACTCATACAGTTCAACATGTTTTTCATCCTCTGCAAAGGGGCATCTGGATGCAGAGACTCGGTCAGGCTCCTATTTATCCCCTGGGCCGGGCTCAAGGTGGTGCTGTGCTTTTTCTTCAGACAGCACGTAAAGTCTGAAGGTCTTCTTTTCTACTGATGTTCAGTGCCTAGAGCCATTAATTCCTTCAGGGTGCAAAATAGTGATATTCTAATTCTGTAATTTTTTTTTTCCCATTAAGTGAGCTACATCTATAAAGAGATGCTTTTCCTTACTTACAGATTGATTACCCAGTGTACAGTTTATATAGGAAGGGCAGAAAAGAAAGTTTCTTTCCTTTTATTTACTGGTTTTCAATATAAACTATCATCCTTTGAGGGTGACTAATTAGGTTTTTGAAAGTGTCATTATTACTATATCTAAACATTTGGGTTTCAGATGTACGTCATGAATTGTAATTATTACTTTTATTGTGATGCTTAAATTGTCCTGTTGTTGACTAATGGGAGAGCTTCTTAAATGGTTTCTGAGTTTTTGATACAACCCTAATTGTCTTTGGTAGTTTCCTTGCTGTCTGGTATAGCAAGATTTTCTTGACTCATCTTGTGTATTTATGCCTCCAACCTGGAATGTATAATTTTTTCCAAGAAATCTTGTTTTTTTTTTTTTTAGTTGGAAATGATATTTCAAGACCAAAATATCCATTGCTAGGGATGCTTGTTGCTATTGGGTTGGTCATTGTTTCTAGGTCTTTCCACTGGACAGAGCTAGGAAATAGGACTATACATATCATATCTTTTCATCATATATATAGAGAGAGAGAGAGAAAGAGAGTCACACATATTTACAATGGAAAGATACATTTATATGATAATATTTACATGCTTAATATAAAATATTTTTAAATATATAAAATACATTTGTATATTTACAGTTAAGATACCTTGTTAAAATATACTGATACTTTTGATTCAGATTTAGAATAACAGGGATTTTTGGTTAACCTTTTGTATAATTACATGTGTGTCTCCTTTAATACTGAGTGTCCTAGTTCTCAGGGACATGGGATGATGGAATGTGAATATCCTGTAATTTCTTATCTGGTTTATCCCATATTACATTGCAGTCTCAGAATAATGGTACGAAAAATACTACCACTAATATGAGATCTGAAAGCAGGTAGAACTGACTGGAATATCATTCCCATTCCCCACCCCACTCCCATTAAATAGTTGTACTCTATATTGTGAGAGTATGTTTTCATTACATACTGTCAGGTTTCCCATTTCACCTGCATACAGTCTCCGTTTGGACTTTGTTTTCTAAGTAAGTATATATTCAGTGCCTCCCACTAGTTCATTTATCTCTAATCATTTTGGTTTTCTGGAATCTTACTCTCTAGATGTTTCCTTAGGAAGGGCTCATGGGAGCAATATTCCCTGAGTTTTTTGCATGTTGATAACAGTTTGTGTCCTTTATATTTGAATGTCAGTTTGGCTGAATGTAAGATCAGTGGCTCACGTTCTTTCCTGAAATATCTTGAATATGTTGCTTCAGTTTTGCAGTAGACTTTGATGACAGTCTAATTTTCTTTCACCTACTAATTAGTTGCTCTTTTTGCCTAGATGCCCAAGTGATTTTTTTTTGTAAATCAGTAATTTTACTGGAATATATCTTGGTGTTGGTTTTGTTCTAAGTTGATATTCATAGGTACAGTATATTAAGAAAAACGTGTACATGTGTAATATGAATTTTTTTTCTTTTAATTTCAGGACAGTTCGGATAATAACTTTCAGTATTCTGATTCCTTTGTCTTTTTTCAGAGATTTATTCTCTGAATTTGCATATTTGTCTCTTGAATCATTTTTAAAACTGAAAAAAATTATGGTATAATTTACAGGAAAATAAAAATAAAATGAAGTAAAACTCACCCTTTATTGTTGTATAGTTCTTTTATAAGTACAAACAGTTGTATAACTACCACCACAGATACAGTATGAGTTTCATCACCCCCAAAAAACTTCCCCATGCACCTTTTTTTAAGATTTTATTTATAAGAGAGAGAAAGAGCATGAGCGGGGGTGGGGAAAAGCAGAGGGAGAGGGAAAAGGACATTCCCTTCTGAGCATGGAGCCTGTTGCGGGGCTCCATCCCAGGACCCTGAGATTATGACCTCTTGAACTGAGGTCAAGAATGGGACGCTTAACTGACTGAGCTACCCAGGAGTCCCTAAGATAGACTTTATTTTTTAGAGCCATTTTAGGTTCACAGCAAATGTGACACAGTATTGTGCATGATTCCCCCCCATCAACATCCTCTACCAGATGGTGCATTTGTTACAGTTGATGAACCTACACTGACTGACACATTATCATCCAAAGTCCATACTTTACATTATAGGGTTCACTCTTCGGTGTTGTACATTTTATGGGTCTGGACAAATACATAATGACATATATCCACCATTATAAATCATAGTATTTTCACTGCCCTAAAAGTCTTC